CCTCTCCTCTCCTCCTCTTCCTCCTCTTCCTCCTCTTCCTCCTCTTCCTCCTCTTCTTCCTCCTCCTCCTCCTCCTCTCCTCCTCTTCCTCCTCTTCCTCCTCTTCCTCTCTCCATCTCTCCGTCTCTCTCTCTCTCCTCTTCACACACGCCGTCTTAACTTTTATTTTTACTTTTTTAAAGCTTTAAACTCGTCTCTCAGTTCAAGTGCTGCTGCGACTCGCGACGTTTTTTTAAAGGGGCAGAACCCGATTTATTTTATTTTAGTGTTTGAGCAGAATCTGTCTTTCAAAAAAGTACAGAAATATAACAAATATATATACAACTATTTCTATAACAGATATAAAACCCATATATAACAGTTAGTGCTGTCATGTGATTAAAAAAAGAGATTAATTAATTATGATCTGTAATTAATTAATCTAATTAATCTCATTTTAATCTCACCTAAAAATAGCTGAGAAAAGCTTCAATTTGAGGTATTTTCATTTAAATTCATTATTACATTATTGTGGCAGATCAAAACACTGATATAGAACAAAAAAAGTGACTTTATAAAGTCATTTATTGTTTAACAAATGTCTCCAGTTTGTCTGTTGAGCCCAAGTCTCCATGAATAAGAAACTGTTTGTTGTAAAGTAGCAAAGACGAGGAAATCTGAACATAATAACTTTTGTCGACTTAAAGACAATAAAAAGTCCAGTTTTTCCTTAACCAGATTAAAAAATATTATTGATAGAGAAATGCTTTTATATATGAGATCACTGGTTTAGTCCTGGTTTAGACCTGGTTTAGACCTGGTTTAGACCTGGTTTAGACCTGGAATTTAGTCCTGGTTTTAGTTCTGGTTTTCTGGTTAGTTCTGGTTTTAGTCCTGGTTTTAGTCCTGGTTTAGTCCTGGTTTTCGTCCTGGTTTAGTCCTGGTTTATCCTGGTTTAGTCCTGGTGTTAGTTCTGGTTTAGTCTGTTTAGTTCCTGGTTTAGTCCTGGACTGGTTTAGACCTGGTTTAGTCCTGGTTTTAGACCTGGTTTAGTCCTGGACTGGATTAGTCCTGGTTTTAGTCTTGGTGTTAGTTCTGGTTTAGTTCTGGTTTATCCTGGTTTAGTCCTGGTTTAGTCCTGGTTTAGTCCTGGTTTTAGTCCTGGTTTAGTTCCTGGTTTAGTCCTGGTTTAGTCCTGTTTTAGTCCTGGTTAGTCCTGGTTTTAGTTCCTGGTTTTAGTCCTGGTTTAGTCCTGGTTAGTCCTGGTTTAGTCCTGGTTTGGTTTAGTCCTGGTTTAGTCCTGGTTTTAGTCCTGGTTTAGTCCTGGTTTTAGTCCTGGTTTTAGTCCTGGTGTTAGTTCTGGTTTTAGTTCTGGTTTAGTCCTGGTTTTAGACCTGGTTTTAGTCCTGGTTTAGTCCTTTTAGTCCTGGTTTAGACCTGGTTTAGACCTGTTTAGACTGGTTTAGTCCTGGTTTAGTCCTGGTTTTAGTCTTTGGTGTTAGTTCTGTTTAGTCCTGTTTAGACCTGGTTTAGTCCTGGTTTAGTCTTGTGTTAGTTCTGGTTTAGAGGTGCACAGGAGAAGCTCGGTTTAACAGCGAGAAAACACGATCCATAAAAAAAATATAAATGTGTTTTTATGTGTTGTTGTCCCAACAACACATAAAAACAGGTTTTATAATAAAGCAACTCTCATACAGAAACAGTAAAGTTAGAGATTAAAAATGAGATTAACGCGATTAAAAAACATAAAGCGCTAAATATGACTGTAATTAATTAATCGCAATTAACGTGATAATTTGACACCTGTAATAACAGCTGCGCCGTCGCCATAGTTATTATATCCACTTATTCTTCTATATTTAATTCTGCTCTTTTTATTGCAGTTTTTATACATATATATTTGGGAATAATTCTTTTGTTAAACCAGTAATAAATTAGTTTCAGTGTCATTTATTGTCTGTATTTTCTTTTTAACTGTGTCAGACTGTGACAGGATAAGCAGCTCTTCATGTCAAAATAAATCACATTCATTCATTCATTCAGACTTCGCCCTGGACGCTTCTATTTCAGTGTCTTTGCATTTGAGTTCAGACACTCGGACGCCGTGGGTCAACGGGAGATAAACACCTGACCCGTGTCCAGGACGTCCACTGTCCAGGACGTCCACTGTCCAGGACGTCCACTGTCCAGGACGTCCAGGACGTCCACTGTCCAGGACGTCCACTGTCCAGGACGTCCACTGTCCAGGACGTCCACTGTCCAGGACGTCCACTGTCCAGGACGTCCACTGTCCAGGACGTCCACTGTCCAGGACGTCCACTGTGGTCAGGGCCTTGTTCCCGATCAAGAGACACTTTAGTGTTTTTATTACATAAACCATCAGCGGCTGTGGTGTGTGTGTTTATACTCCACGAATGACACTGGTGTAGTCCTGGTAGTCCTGACTAGTCCTGAGACTGACTTAGTCCTGGTTTAGTCCTGATTAGTCCTGACTTAGTCCTGGTTTAGTCCTGACTTAGTCCTGACTTAGTCCTGGTCCTGGTAGTCCTGACTAGTCCCTGGTTTAGTCCTGACTTAGTCCTGGTTTAGTCCTGACTTAGTCCTCCTGGTTCCTGTTTAAGTCCTGGTTTGTCCTGACTTAGTCCTGGTTCAGTCCTGGACTAGTCCTGGTTTAGCCTGGGTGAGTCCTGGTTCAGTCCTGTTTTTGTCCTGTTTAGTCCTGTTTAGATTTAGACCTGGTTTAGTCCTGGTTTAGGTCCTGGTTTAGTCCTGTTAGACCTGGTTTAGACCTCCTGTTGACCTGGTTTGGTCCTGGTTTAGTCCTGGTTTTTAGTCCTGGTTTAGTCCTGGTTTAGTCCTGGTTTAAGAGTCCTGTTTAGTCCTGTTTTAGTCCTGGTTTATCCTGACTGGTTTAGTCCTGGTTTTAGTCCTGGTTTTAGTCCTGTTTTAGAGGTTTAGGTCCTGGTTTAGTCCTGGTTTAGTCCTGGTTTAGTCCTGGTTTAGGTCCTGGTTTTGGTTTACCTGGTTTAAGTCCTGGTTTAGTTTAGTCCTGGTTTTAGTCCTGGTTTAGACCTGTTTAGTCCTGGTTTAGTCCTGGTTTGTCCTGGTTTAGTCCTGTTTTAGTCCTGGTTTAGTCCTGGTCCTGGTTTAGGTCTGGTTTATAGTCCTGGTTTGTTTTAGTCCTGGTTTAGTCCTGGTCCTGGTTTAGTCCTGGTTTAGTCTGTTTAGTCCTGTTTAGACCTGGCCTTTTTAGTTCCTGGTTTTAGTCCTGGCCCTGGTTTAGTCCTGGTTTAGTCCTGCCTAGTTTAGACCTGGTTCAGTCCTGGTTCAGAGCCTTGATTTAGCGTTTTAGTCCTGTTTTTAGTCCTGGTTTAGACCTGGTTTAGACCCGGTTTAGTCTGGTTGTTAGCCGCGGTTTAGTCCTGGTTTAGCCCGGGTATAGCTCCTGGTTTATCCATGGTTTAGAACCCGGTTTGAAGTCCGTGGTTTGTCCTGGTAGTCCTGGTTAACTCTGGTTGTAGTCCTGGATTGGTCCTGGTTTGGTCCTGGTTTTGGTTTTGTCCCTGGTTTTGTCCTGGTTTGGTCCTGGTTTGGCCTGGTTTAGTCCTGTTTGGTTCTGGTTTTGGTCCGGTTTACTGTCCCGTGGTTTAGTCTGGTTGGGGTTTAGTCTGGTTTAGTCTGGTTTGTCCTGGTTTGGTCCTGCGTTTAAGTCCCTGGTTGTGGTCCTTGGTTTAGTCCTGGTTTAGTCCTGGTTTAGCCTGGTTTGGTCTGGTTTGGTCCTGGTTTAGTCCTGGTTTGTGTCCTGGTTTGGTCCTGCGTTTAGTTCCTGGTTAGTGGTCTGTTGTAGGTTATTTAGTACCTGATTTGGTCCCAGTTATTTGTGTTAGTTTGTTTAGTCCCAGTCTGATTCTGGCTTAGTTTTGGTCTAGTCCTGGTTAGTTCGGTGAATTGTTCTGGTTTAGTTGGTCTGGGCTTTTCAGACTGTGGTCTTGGTTCCAGAGCTTAGTCCTGGTTGGTCCTGGCTTTAGTCCTGGTTTATGTCCACATGGTTTTGTCCTGTTTTGTCCTGGTCTAGTCCTGGTTTGGTCTGTTTGGCCTGGTTAGTCCTGATGTTGGTCCAGTTTTGTCTGGTTTTAGGTCCTGGTTGGTCCTGGTTTGGTCCTGGTGTCGGTCTGGTTCTTAAGCCTGGTTTGGTTCCTGGTTTAGTTCCTTGGTTTGGTCCTCGGTTTAAGTCCTGGTTTAGTCCTGGTTTAGTCTGTTTGCGTCCTGAGTTTGGTCCTGGTTTAAGTCCTAGGTTTTGTGCCTGGTTTGGTTCTTGGTTTAGTCCTGGTTATTGTCCTGGGTGATTGGTCCTGGTTTAGTCCAGGTTTTTGGTCCTTGTTTAAGTGCCTAGGTTATAGTTCTGGATGTTGTCCAGTTTAGTATTTGGTTTTAGTTTGTTTTAGTCCATCTGAATTCTCTGCGCTAGTTTTGGTTCTAGTCTGGTTTAGGTTCTGAGCTTAGTTCTGGTTTAGTTTCGGTCCTGTAGTTTTGAGTCTGGTTTGGTTCTAGATTAGTCTGGTTTTTAGTCCTAGTATTGATCTGCTTTAGTTAGGGTTGGTCTGGTCTTGTCCCGGTTTAAGTTCTTAGTGGCTTAGTGCCTGGTTTCAGTTTTTGGTTTTGTTGCTGATTTTGTTCTGGTTGTGTAGTCTTGGGTGTTTGGTTCTTAGCTTAGTCCTGAGTTTAGGTCCTGGCTTTGGTTTCCTGGTTTGGTCCTGGTGTTGGTCCTTGGGTTTAAGTCCTGTTTAGTCCTGGAGTAATCTGTTTTGTTTAACCTGGTTTAGCCTTTAGGGCCTAAGAAAGACTAACCAGGACTAAACGAGATTTAAAAACAGCACAAAACAGACTTTACCAGAACTTACCTGGATTAAATCTGGACTAACCTGGACTAAACCTGGACTTACTGGACTAAACCTGGACTAAACTAGAAAACGAAACAAGGACTAAGTAAGATTTCACAAAGATAAACTAGAACTTACTACATGGTTAACCCGGGCTAAACCAACTAAACACAACCAAAAAAGGACTAAACAGGACTAGCTAGAACCAAACCAAGACTAAACCAGAACAAATCAGAACAAAACCAAAACAAACAGGACTAAACTAGACTAAACCGGACAAGACCAGGACAGACAAGGACTAGACAGGACCAAACCTACTAAAGCAGATCAAACTAGGACTAACCAGGACTAAACCAAAACAAAACCAGACCACCAAACTAAACCGGGACTAAATCAGGACTAAACAGGACTAACCAAAACTAAACCCGGGACTAAACCAGACTAAACCGGGACTAAACGGGACTAAACCAGACAACAGGACTAAAACAGGACTAAAACCAAAACTAAACCGGGACTAAACCGGGGACTTAACCAAAAACTAAACCGGGACTAAAGCAGGACTAAACCAGGACTAAAACAGGACTAAACCAAAACTAAACCGGGACTAAACCAGGACTAAACCAGGACTAAACCAAAACTAACCAGACTGAAAACCGACTAAACGGACTTAAACCTCAGGGACTAAAACAGGACTAAACCAAACTAAACCAGGACTAAACCAGGACTAAACCAGGTCTTGTTCTGTTCCAGACGATGACTTGTCAGAGATCAGTTCCGGGCGCGAGACTCCGGCCAGCGCCTCGTCCAGAAACGATTTAGACGCCATCGCCGGCGACGACAGGAAAAAGAAAAAGAAAACGATCGGAAAAAAGAAGGAAAAGAAAACGAAGACCAAGAAGGATCCCGAAGACCCGGACCGGAAGAAGAAGAAAGGATTCGGACTGCTCAGGTAAGACTCTCATTTAAAGTTTTGGACATTTTAAACATCGATCTAAATTCCGATAAATGTAAATGTGATTATAAATGTTACGTTTATCACCAATTAAGAAAAACTTGAGAACGAAGTCCGTAAAAAACTAAAACGAGTCCATTTAAAAGAGTTTACAGAGGTTCAAAGTTCTTCCTCGCTTCCTCAGGCCTTCAGAGCGTCGTCATTATTCACCACCATGAGTTTATACTACTTTTAAAAAAACTTTGAGAGACCAGAGCTTTGGAGTTTGGGTGCAGCAACTAGCATGCTAACCGCACACATCTGGATTAGACATGGATTAGTTCTACTTTTAGAGCTGTTTTATGTGTTTTTACATGTTTACACCTGGTTTAGTCCTGGTTTAGTTCTACTTTTAGGCCTATTTAAAATGTTGGTTAGTCTTGGTGTTTGTTCTTTTTTAGGCCTATTGCTTGGTTTAGTCCTTTGGTTTTGTTCTACAGGCCTAGTCGACTTATAGTCCAGACCAGTGGTGCTCAATACGTCGATCCTGATCTACCAGTCGATGGCCAAGGTCGTGTGGGTAGATCGCCGTGTCTCGTCTCGGACTCGATCGCGTTTGGACTCGGTCTTGTCTAGAGCCCGACCGATTATCGGCTGGCCGATTATTATCGGCCAATATGGGCCCTGGAGACATATCCTGTCGGCCGATATACTTGCTGATATGGGCCGATATTTCACGTGGGCATGTTAACCTCGTTATAAAGTTAGAACTCTCTAATTCTGTTCATTTAATCCAATTTACAGACAGATAATGTCCTAATATGTGGCACATCAGTATTTATCTACGTGTAATTTGTGTCTGTACTGTCCCTGAACACACCAAAGTGACGTCACTTCACTCACGTGTGTTGTTTACACCCGCAGCCCGTGCGCAACATGAGATATTTTCTTTTTTCTGACAATCGGTTTGAGTCTGGATTAAAAGGACATTTATTAGTGCAGACTTGTGATGTGGGAGGAGCCTGTGTGAGGTGAGTGTTGGAAATACATCGACTTTGAAGCTAGTTAGGTTTTGTTAGCGATTAGCTCTGTAGCTCCCACACATAAAACTATTATGGTCTATTGTAAAGGACTAATTGGCCGTATATTTGCTACTGGACCTGAATTGATCTGTAAATGAGCTGTGAATAGACGTGTGATGATTCCACATTTATGCATATAATTAATTTGCGGTGCGCACGTTTTTACGGCTAAAGGCTAATAGTGGTAGTTTACTTGCTAGGAGTTATTGTCGCGATCGAAAGCGGCTCAGCGAACAACGGGAGCATGTTTCTTATGGGAGCCGTGTTTTCTCTTTTTCTCATTTTTTTTCTTCATTCGCTGTCGACCCGTAGTTTGACAGCAGCAGCGGCTGAAAAGAACTTTCAGAAATCTGCGTGTGCATAGGATAAAAAAAGTGCATATTTGGCTGCAGTTCAGCATAAAATGAATACACCAGGACAATCTTGGGCTCGAGTAAAGGAGAGAGATAGAGACGAGTCCCGACACTCAGTCCTGTTCAGTTCTGGTTTAGTCCTGTTGCAACAAAACCATCAAGGTCGCTTGGGAGCCAAAAGAGCCAGTGCTTTAGTGAGTCGAGCCAAAAGCCGGTTTCCAAAAAACAACAACAAAAAACAAAACTGGAATACCCATCACTAGTAGTGACAGTAACAGCAGCTAGAATTGATGCAAATGCCATTTAGGCCAATCTACTGTCTGTAAATATATGTAAAGAGGCAGAATAACAAATGTTGCTAAATAAACCCATTAAAATCCACTAGAGCCAACCTAAGTTTTTATCAATTCAAGATTTACATGAATTTTACATCACTAAATAATCGGCGATTATATCGCTATCGCAGCTCAACTCCATTTATCAGTTTTATCGCCACAACAAAATCCATATCGGTGGGCTCTAGTCTTGTCTCTCACTCGAGGTCTGACGCTCAACAAGTGTGATCATATTTGATTCCGGCCGCTGCTGTTGGTAATAAACTTGTAGCGGGTGCAGGAGCGTGTGGGGCGTCTCAGTTCAGCCTGTGCGCTCATTTGAAACCCGCGGAGACTCTACGGCGCATCACAAACACACACGCTCCCTATGCACGGCTCGTCTGCGACAGCGTGTGCCCTCGTGTACCAGCGTGCATCACAGGGCAGGTTCAACTTCCTAAACATCCTACCTGTCCATCTGCCTCACGTCAGCACGCCGCCCCTCGCCTTTTCACGCTCTCGCTCCTTCCTGCGTACAGCGAACACAAGCCCCTCCCACAGTGCGCTGATTAGAAGAGCAAGACCAAACGTGAAGCAAAAACCAGTCTAAATTTGTGTTCCAGTGTTGGCACAAAGCAGGTCTACAGCATAGAGCGGATCTACAGAACAGACCTACTGCCACATTTGGCTGAAGTTTGTCTAACAAAAGTGACAAATGCATCTGTGTTTGTCACGATGTGCGTTTGGTTTGGTAAACGTGCAGAGGCTGGTAAATATCACTGCAAAACCAGAAAAAGAATGAAACTCCAGTTTGGAACTTTAAAAAACAGGTTTAAAAATCTTCCTTCACTTTTTTCACAGTTTTGTGTAAAGTGCCAGAGGAAGTTCTCTTAAAGAAGAGGTTCTCAAACTGTGGGGGAGGGTCCAAAAAAGGGGCACAGAGTGTTTCAGTGCAGTTTGTTTGACTTTGTATTAGGTCGATCTTTTTGACTTGGTCGTTTTGTAAGTAGCTCACATGATGAAAAAGTGTGAACACCTCTGGTCCAGAGCGTCTTATGCCCGAAAAATACAGTACCTCGAAAAAACACAGATTCTGAGTGTGAGTGGGGTCGCCTCTCCACAGATCTGACCTGTCACTTGGTCTGGTTTGGTCTCCGTGCACAGGAGGTTTAAACGGACAGATTGGCTGGTGAATGATCTCGTCGTCTGCTGCAGCTCGTCTGCGCTCGGTCTCTGCTCGGTCTCTGCTCGGTCTCTGCTCGGTCTCTGGGTCTCTGCTCGGTCTCTGCTCGGTCTCTGCTCGGTCTCGGTCTGCGCTCGGTCTCTGCTCGGTCTCTGGGTCTCGGTCTCTGCTCGGTCTCGGTCTGCGCTCGGTCTCTGCTCGGTCTCTGCTCGGTCTCGGTCTCTGCTCGGTCTCTGCTCGTCTCGCTCTGCTCTCTGGTCTCGGTCTCAGTCTCGGTCTCGGGTCTCTGCTCGGTCTCTGCTGGGTCTGTGTCGTCCTTGACATTGGGGCGATTGGTTTGTTTATCTCAGATCTGAGCGTTGCTGTGTTATCGCTCCACACTAATTGAATCTCAAGTGTTGGTGCAGTGATACAGACGCTTTCTCTGTGTCAGTGTGAAACAGATAAGAACAAGGACCAGGACCCAGGACTCAGGACTCAGGACTCAGGACCAGGACTCAGGACTCAGGACCCAGGACTCAGGACTCAGGACCAGGACTCAGGACCAGGACCCAGGACTCAGGACTCAGGACTCAGGACAGGACTCAGGACCCAGGACCAGTCAGGACCGGACCAGGACCCAGGACAGGACTCAGGACTCAGGACTCAGGACTCAGGACTCAGGACTCAGGTCAGGTCTCAGGTTCTCAGGTCAGGACTCAGGACTCAGGACTCAGGACTCAGGACTCAGGACACGACCGGACCCCCCAGCGTCAAGACAGGAAGAGATAAAGAGCTGACAGCGTCTTTAGACCTGGTTTAGATCTGATTTAGACCTGATTTAATCCTGGTTCAGACCTAATTTCCCTGTGTCAGTTTTTATAGATAAGATCAAGGCTAAAGCCGAGGACACGACTGGACCCCCCACGATCAGGACATGAAGAGATAAACTACTGACAACATGTTTAGTCCTGGTTTAGTCCTGGTTTAGTCCTGCTTTAGTCCTGCTTTAGTCCTGTATTAGTCCTGTTTCAGACCTGTTTTAGTCCTGTTTTAGTCCTGGTTTAGTCCTGGTTTAGTCCTGGTTTAGTCCTGGTTTAGTTCTGAGTCTTGGCTGTCCTCTGCGTCCTTTCAGCAGATGTAAATATTCGGTTTAAACAGTTTTTGGCAGCCATCTTGGTGTGGGCGACAGTCACAAACAGCTGCGTTCAGGTCACCCCTGAAATCACACGTTTGTTTTTCGCTCTCGTCTCTTTGTGTGAATGAAAACGGTTAAAGTAGACGTAGAAACACACGGAGGCGCACGGACTCTCGAAGGGCAAATAAACACGCCTCAAATGTTTTAGACGAGCTCGTTTATTACAGCGGCTTCATCTGTCCAGGGGTTTTGGCGTCATTAAAAGTTTGCCTCGTTGCCATGGCGATTATAAGCAATTCACAACAAATAATCTCTCTTTTTGGATGGTTAAAAGTCCTCAAGTTGAAAAAAAGACTTTATTATTTGTCTGGTAAATACAAAACGACGTCTCTCAGTGTTTTTTTTTTTTTTTTTTTTACATTACATTTTTTATATTGTCAAATTCAAACATCCAAATCTGATCCGAGTCCAGTCACACTTTTTTTTAGACCTGGTTTAGTCCTGTTTTCCTCCTGTTTTAGTCCTATTTTAGTCCTGCTTTACTCCTGGTTCAGTCCTGGTTTAGTCCTGTTTTAGTCCAGTTTTAGTCCTGGTTCAGTCCCGTTTTAGTCCTGGTTCAGTCTGTTTTAGTCCTGTTTTAGTCCTGGTTCAGTCCTGTTTTAGTCCTGTTTTAGTCCTGTTTTAGTCCTGTTTTAGTCCAGTTTTAGTCCAGTTTTAGTCCTGGTTCAGTCCGGTTTTAGTCCTGTTTTAGTCCAGTTTTAGTCCGTTTTAGTCCCGTTTTAGTCCTGGTTTAGTCCTGGTTCAGTCCTGTTTTAGTCCTGTTTTAGTCCAGTTTTAGTCCAGTTTTAGCCTGGTTCAGTCCGGTTTTAGTCCAGTTTTAGTCCAGTTTTAGTCCTGGTTCAGTCCTGTTTTAGTCCTGTTTTAGTCCTGTTTTAGTCCAGTTTTAGTCCAGTTTTAGTCCTGGTTCAG